TGGAAAAATGATCCCTGTGAGCCAGACCTGGGTCAAGGTTCCATTTGAGTACCTGACCATCATCCACCCCCATCAACAGGGAAGCCATGATTGAAAGTTTAAATCTAAGACTTTTAGAGAAACATCTGATCAAAAATAATGAATCCCCCAGTTTATAACAAGACATCCCAGACAGCTTAACCCTTTGGTTATACTTCTGCTTTAATAGAATAACATTTGAAAATGAAGATATCCAGTGGTAAAAGGTAAAGCAGGATGCGATACTGAGAAGCACAACTGTGCTTTAACTGGGGTCCTAAGTTTTTAGTCATGACAATCACACTTCAGCTGAACAATGTCCTCTAGCTTTGCAACACACCCAACAGTAACAGTACAATACCACCCTTAACACTGTACTCCATGTCAAATACCCACTCTATAAATGTACTGTTTCATCTTTTTTTTTCCCATAATAAAAGGGATAGATCTATAATTCATAATCAGAGTCAGGTGCCTGAAGATTGAGGTATGAAATATTGCCTATCAATTTGCTTCACAGACTGAATTTTTTTTAAAAAATAGTATAATTATTTTTCTTTAAAGTAACTTCATGTAATGGGAGTCTAGTTCATTTCATAATGATGTTGGTTGAACAAGACAACCAAAAAATGCAAGTATTAGGCTGGGATATAGCTTAGTGGTAAAGTAGTTGCCTCTCATGTGTGATACCCAGTGCCAAAAAAGAAGGTATTTTTCAGAAAAATAAGACCAATAACAGCATTAAAGCATAATCCTTTAAGAATTCATGAGAAATAAAGGTGATAAAGTTTAAGGTTCTTTATCAGATGTTTTAAAATTTCCATAAAACTCTTTGTCCCAAGACTGATCATTTAACCATGGTACACAAAATACACTGAATACATCGCGTGGCATCAAGGTGGGAAAACCCTCATTTTTATATAATAAAATCCTCTTCTAATCCTTCTTGACCCAAGTTGTGGTTGTCTGAGGGCTGATTGCTCTCGAAAGACCTGAAGTTGTAATAGAAAGCATCATTTTCAGCAACTGGTTGGTATTCCTGTTCCATTTCATTTGGGAAACCATTTCCAGAGCCGCTTCCAGATCCTGATCCAGAGCCAGAACCAGACCCAGAGCCTGATCCAGAATAGTCCTCAGAAAGGGGGAAAACATCATTCAAGTTCTGGAATCTTTTCATTCTGAAATATGAAAGAAAAAAAAACATAGTAAAGTTTGTTTCATAGGGAATATAATCATAATATTTTTATGATTAAAGAAATAAATGCAGCCACCCAGTAGCTCAAATTAAGAGTTTAGCTCTTTTAAAGTCTCTAAATTATTCAATGCTATAAACAAAAAACCAAGTCAAGCTGGGTGTTTAATCATTGAGTTATATCCCCAGCCCTTTTTTATATTTTATTAGACACAGGGTCTCACTAAGTGGCTCAGGGTCTTGCTAAGTTATTGAGGAGGGCCTTGAACTTCTGATTCTCCTGCCTCAGCCTCCTGAGCTTCTGGGATAACAGGCATGTGCCACCATGCCCATCCTTCACATTCAATTTGTCACCCCCCAATATATCCCCAAATTAATCTGCCTCCAACCTGCATTCATGAGCTAAAGGTGCTGAAGGGTGGGGCTTATGCATCTGAGTGTGCTCCTTAGAAGTCAAGTGAGCAACCAAAGATCAAAGCAATGGTGCCATCATCTCTCCTTAGGAGATCAGGGCATGGCATCAGAGACTAAAGTTGAGCATCACATCCTGCGGATCATTTTCACCATGAAAATAATAAATCCAGGTCACAATCAATTGGAGTTTTCAGTCATGCATAGATTCAATAAATGTATCTGTTGAATAAGAACCATAGAAGAGATCCCTGTTCTAAGTGTCCGGGAAAGAACAGGAATAGATAGATGAGGTCCCTGATCAAGAAACTTGCTTTCTTTCTTTCTTTTTTTTTGGTACTAGGGATTGAACCCAAGGACACTTAACCATTGAGCCACATCCCCAGTCCTTTTTTTATATTTTATCTAGAGAAAGGGTGTCACTAAGTTGCTTGGGGCCTCCATAAATTGCTGAGGCTGGCTTTGAAGTTGCAATCCTCCTGACTTAGCCTCCCAAATCACTGGGATTACAGGTGTGCACCTGACTCAAGAAACTTTTAACTTAGTAGAAAGACAACAAAAAGTGAATAAAAAATCAAGAAAACATTAAGTGGTGCAGAGAAATGAAATAGAGTAATGTCACAGAGGATGCCATGTGGCTACTTCAGCCTGGGGGATCAGATTTGGTAGTTATTGGCATATAAATGGTGTTAAAAGCCAGGTAGCAGGAGGAGGTCACCTAGCGAAAACATGTAGATTGAGAGGAGGACCCACAACAGAGCTGGGGCCACACCAGTATATAAAAAATTCAGCATAAGAGAAAACAGCCAGGGAAGGCAGGAGGAAACCATGATAAGGTGGGGTATGGAAGCAAAGAGAAGCAAGAATTTCAAAAGAAGATGCTGGGTGCGGTGGTGCACGTCTGTAATCCCAGCAGCTCAGGAGACTGAAGCGGGAGGATCATGAGTTCAAAGCCAGCCTCAGCAACTTAGTGAAACCCTGTCTCTAAATGAAAAACATATAAAAGGGCTGGGAATATGGCTCAGGTGTTAAGTCCCACTGGGTTCAGCCTTTGGTACCAGAGAGAGAGAAAAAGAGAGAGAGAGAGAGAGAGAGAGAAGATGACTAAACAGGAGACACGAAAGTATGCCTGAAGCCTGCTGGGAAGAAGATACTAGGTTCAGAGAAGTAATTGCAGAATTGAAGTTGTAGAGAAGATGGGTATGAATGGGGATAGGATACCAGACACAGAGAGGGTTGACCTTAGAAGTTGCAACAACCAAGGCCCAATCGGGAAACTTCTCTAAATATTTAATACAAAGGGCACTGCTTATGCATGTGTTCAAGGAGAAGTGAAGCCAAACAGAGGATGATGTGGTAATTCAGAGATTAGCAACAGCAAGAAAGTACTTTCCTAGTGAGCTAGAGGGATAGCGGAAGACTGATATTATCTGAGCCCAGAGACCAGGGGCATCCAGTGGGAAATGAAGCCACAAACCCATGCCAGAGGTGCCTCTTGAGTTCTCTTCCTGCTGGCCTCCCCCATCTCTCTTTTGTGCCTCCATTGGCCACAGTCAGCCACAAACCTGAATGCTTCAGGAAAGCAGACCACAGGGATCAGCCCTCCCCCACCCCCACACAGAGCAGGACCAGGAAGGACAAGGGATAGACCAGAAGGCAAGGGGCCTGCGTTAGGCACAGAAGCAGAGACCATTCATCCATAATGACAGGAGGAAAATCAGAGTGTTGGAAGCAAAGTTACTGGCTTCAGGAAGGGAAGATCACAGAGGTTAGAGGAGAGAAGAAATGATGTGAAGAGAGGTTTTGGAGCTAGGTGTTGTGGCTCACGCCTGTAGTCCCAGCTACTGGAGAGGCCGAGGCAGGAGGATTGCAAATGGAAGGGCAGCCTCAGCAACTTAGGGAGACCCTGTCTCAAAATTTTAAAAAAGCAGGAGGCTAGAAGTAGCTCAACGGTAGAATGGTTGCCTGGCACATATAAGGCCCTGATTCCTTTCCCAGTTAAAGGGAAAAAAGAAGAAGAAGAAGAGTTGTTTTGGAGAATTTAAGTTAGTCTTCTAATATTTTAGATTTAAATGAATTATCAGTGAAACCTATGACTTAAAGAAATGGAGGATGCTACGATATTAAGTTCAGACTTCATGCTATAAACTTAAAGTAAGAACACAGGGCAGGACTACAAAGTTTCATTCTGATCTAGGTTTGAGCCTGAAGATTTAAACTTTGATGATAATCATTTTTTTTTCACCCATCTTTGCTATAAACTATTTAATTCTGGTATTCACTAAAGTAAATGACTTATGTAACTCAACTTTTGGTTACTTACGAATTCCTATTGGCACTGTTTGCAAGTTTAAGCAGGCTTCGTTGATCAAGAAGGGGTTTGGGTTTTGTTCTACATGGCATGCCATTTATTTTTTTCTTTCCCATTTTTTTAATCACCCCCAATTCAAGGACATTTCTAATCATCCTCCCCCACAAAACCATACCCAATAGCAATCACTCCTTAGTCATCTCTCTCCCCAGTCCCTGGCAACCAGCAATCTACTTCCTGTCTCTAGGGATTTACCTATTCTGGACATTTCATGTAAATGGTATCATTTAACTGGCTTCTTTCTTCTGTTTCATGTTTTCAAGG